GGACCGTCTGCAAATTTACCTCACAGTACAAAACAAAGTCCAATAATTTATTCAAATTAATGTTTACAGTAAATGAATAATTTACTCAAACTCACTAAATATATATTGCCAATAACTCGCCTTTCCCTAACTATGTACCCTACACAAATATATATATATATATATATTAATTTTTTTTATTACAGTAATTAACCAAAATTGGTTTTTTTGTGTTCCAAATGTTGTATGTTACTAATGACCAGACTGACTTAATTCTTAAGAAATTACTGTAATTCATATAAAGTTTTTTTTATGTTCCAAAGGCTGTAGTACATTCCTAGTGACTAGACTGACATAATAGGTGCAATTTTGCTAATACCTCCCTTACTGTACATAAAGTATGCAATATTTTGTACTACAACCTTTGGAACATGAAAAATCCCTTTTGGGATCTTACAGATTTTTTTGTTTGTGTTTTAAATAATTGTGAATGGTACATACAGTAAGGGTGATATTGGCAAAATTTCACATGAAGTAAGTCAGTCTTGTAACTAGCAACGTACAACAACCCGTGGAACATGAAAAAAAAACCTTCTGGTGAATTACTGTAGTTTTAAAAAAAATATATTTGTGTACTGTACATACCGTAAGGGAGATATTGGTAAAATCTAACCTGTAGTAAGTTAGTCTTGTATCTAGCAATGTACTACAGTCATTGGAACATGAAAAAACCCTTTCCAGGGATCTTTTATATGTAAATAATTGTGTACTGTACATATATGAAGGGAGGTATTGGCAAAATCTCACCTGTAGTAAATCACTATGAGCAATACGAGCTTTACAATTTGACAGTATGTTATTTTAAATGTTAAAAGTCATTTTAATTAAAATACATTGGACATTTTAACCCAGTCGGTGGAATTGTCAGACGGTCCCTTGGGTGCGATAGCAATGTTTTCTCCGGTTTAAATTTGCATCAACAATACACCCAGGCGGTTTTGAACTCCTATTTTTATGTCAATATAAAGTGGTTGCATATTGTTAAAACTAATCGTGGTATTGAAAAGTGGTAAGGGAAAGCAATTATAAAGAAAATGCAGCGCGTTGCATTCTTCTGACCTCATTTGCTTGCCTGTATATAGTTCGCATAATCATCAATAAAGTGTATTCTGAGATCTGAGGTCTTATATCACTGTATTAGTTCACTGAGGCGCATTACGTGTCATTGGGGAAATCATGGAGTGTGACGTATGAGGGGAACCCCAGTATTACAACTCAGACCCCAGCATGCGTCACACAAGCCATGATACAAAGTTCCGGAAACTAAGCAACCGAAAGCAATATATGTCATATATGTCTGTAATGTTAGTTCTGTACTTCAGCGTCGCGTAAAACAGCATTATTATCTCCTTTGTGGTATAGAAAGCTGCTTACATGCAGGCTACGGGAAACAGCGAAGATGTTGAATTAAACAT